AGGAGGATGCCAACTCTGGCTTGCATTAAAAATACCTGGGTGGATGAGCTTGCAGGAGTAACGCTCCCCCACCCAAGTTATTCTTTTACCATTAGCACTGGTTGGATGGTCAAGTGCCGCTGTACCACAACACACTCTCCAGTTTTGTTTTGTTTTTTAAAAAAAACTATTAAAGATTTCTTAGTTTACAAAAATGTGTACATTGTCTCTTTTTTCAAGTTGTGTTTCTACAGATCAGTTCCATTTGTTGTGAGACATTAGTGTTAGGTTAGGAAGAAAGGAGGGGAAGAAAGGAGGGGGAAGAGGGGAATGGTGAGTGGGATGGGGTCGGGTGGCAGTGCTTCTATTCTTTTACTTAGTGTATGTGTGGGGTTTTGTGTCAGTGTCACTCGTGTGTGTTCTTACTATTCACTTGTTGTATTTCCTTGGTGGTGAGAGGTTGGGGTGGCCTAGGGTGTGGCTGGTTGTCTTTGGTTGTCTGTAGTGAGATTTGGTTTTGTGTGTGAGTGTGCGGGTTTTGGGGTCAGGTTAGCCAGATTGATTTGTATACTGACAGCAGATTCTTTTTGTTGTCTTGTTGGAGTAGGTATGTGATAAATGGGAACCATACCAGGGTGAAGGCATCTTCTTCTATTTGTCACCATGTCAGTTTCACTACTCATCATTTTTCATTTGAAAAATTAGGGTGGTATTCCCTTTATTATTGCTATCTTACAACATCATACTATGGGGGGAAATGTTTATTATGTAGAAAAACAAAACTTTACATTGTGCACCTGCCAAATCAGTATCAAAAACTAACAAGAGCAGATATTTTTCAGTTGAATTGTTCATGGAAACAGGAGCAGACTTAATCTCTATTAAATATAATTTCAGGAGAATGATGCAAATGCTGCATTATTCCTAGAGGAGAGGATGTTATACTTCATAGGAACTATGGAAAGAAAAGAGAAACAACATTTGGAGAGTGATATAGCACAGAGTGGGAATCGAGAACAATCCCCCAGAGCTTCTAGCAAAACAGCAGACAGCTTTGCAGCTAGTACTGGCAGTCATCAGTCTTGGCAGCCTTATTTCTGTTGGCGGAAAACAAGGTCACTGAATGTCATAATCCTGTGGACTCTTGCAAGTTATGCTGGCATACTGGGCATGTAAGGTCACCATGCAGTGTGTTTGCGAGAATCCAATCTCTTGTGCTCTCAAACAGTCCCAGCAATGAGGTCAGAATGGCTTTCCCTCCCTCTCCAGCTGCAGTCTTCTGGAAAGATGCTCACCAAGGACTGTCAAAGGGCTAGCTTTGAACAAAGGATCCGATATAGTCTTGTGGAACTGTGCTACTTCCTGCATCCTAGAAAAAAGGGAGAAAATGCATCAGATGATAGGCTAGCATTACAAGAGGCAAGTTAAAAGTACAGTTGTACCTTGGATCCCGAATGCCTTGTGAGTTGAACTTTTTGGCTCCCAAACGCCACGGTTTGCAAACATTCTTTGGAACCCAAACATCTGACGCGGCTTCTGATTGGCTGCAGGGACCTCCTGCAGCCAATCGGAAGCTGCGCCTTGGTTTCCAAATGTTTTGGAAGTCAAACAGACTTCCGGAACAGATTCCATTCGACGTTTGAGGTACCACTGTACTACCAGTCCTTGAGTGAAGTCACTCACTGTATTCAGGTGGGGCTAACCTAACCTGGCTCTGACTAAACTTCTAGCACACCCCAGGGAACAAAAAGGCATAAACTGGAGGGTGTCATCTAGGCACATCTGCTATGTGAATTATGGGGGTCAGTGTAAGAGAGCTCACGAGGAAGAGTCATGTGCAAACAGCAGGACTCCCAACAGCTGAAGATGCTCATATCCAAGTGTGTCTTCCATATTCCTTCAACAACTTAAACTTATTCTATGAGAATACCATAACATACCTACTACAGTCTGAGTTCAATTAGACAGAGCCCTTTCCTTGAAGCTGTGCAGAGCATAGAACCAGGAGTTCACAAATAGGACCTTTCATCCTCTTCCTTTGAATTACTTGATGAAAGTCTGTAAACCAGGGCTTTGCTTCTAGGGTGGCTTGAGAAAAGTAACATAAAATCAGGAGTGTGTCATGTACACACCGGAGGTCTGTTTGTAAACCAAAACAGGTTGTAACCCAAGGCGCTCTTTTGCCAATGGGGCCTCCAAGAAAAAATTGTTCGTAATAAAAAAAAAGGGGGGGGGTTGTAATCCAAAAAAAAAAAAATTGCAAACCAGGACATTAACTTCCAGGTTTGACATGTTTGTTCGCAAACCAAGGTACCACTGTATCTGGCAATAGCATTCTTCACAGAGCAAAAGTGTAGCTATGTATTTAAAGGATTGCCCAAAATGTGCATTTGTTAATTTATAGTGAAATGAATATGGTCTTGGCTAGGGTCTTATCAGCTCTGGGCTCTGCAGTGTGTTTAGCTGCCTTACAAGCCAAGAAAAGCTTAACGTTTTAAACTTTAAAAGGGGAGGGGGGAGAGAGAGGGAGGAAATATGGGGCCCTCTGAGCTCCCGGTATGTCTCTGAGCAGAAGAGCTCTCTGGATTTATTTGAAACACAATCTTACCTCCAGTGCTCTCATTATAATATCTCGCTTGAATTTGCAAGAATCCAAGTTATATTAGCCAGGCACAATGGAGTTTAGCTGGCGTACAGTTGCTACATGTGCTACACTACTGGGCAGCTCTACTGAAGCTAAGGGCAGTTCTGTAATTCTGCAAGCCTCACAAGGAGTATATGTGCTATCCAGCAGGGGTGTGCACTAAATTCAGACAAATCCTGAATCCAAGATGAAGTGTGGCACCTCAAAAAGGTTTGGGGCTTGTTGGAGGTGAAGTAGGATCTGGAACCCTTGAAGCACTTTGTGGGGCTTGGCAATTCAGATGTCAAAAAGCAACTGCAGACAAGCATATGCTAAAAGCAGAACTAAGCTTATCATATAAGGAAAATGCCATGGTGGAATGCTGAGAGAAGGAAGAAGAAACACCCGCACTGGGAGAGTTACGTGAGAGATCGTTGTGACTAACAGGGCAAAGTTGTCATCAGAGGAACTGATTTTACCTGGAAAGTCCCCTTGCCTCCACAAAAAATGGTGGGCATATTTCACGGCAGTTTGCCAGTTTTCTTATCCAGTGATAAGGTAAGCTCTCTTATGTATGCAATTTTCAGAACATTTGTTCACAAAACATCAGGGGAGAACATGATTCCTTTTTTCCTTATTCCAAAGAACCAAACTGGGGTCTGAACCAGCTTTTGTGGTTGGTACATGCCCCTACTGATGCCCTGGCCTTTGGCGAGTGCAATAAAGGTTTATGAACACAGCCCTCATTTCGGGGACCTGGAATGCCTTGTCTTTTTCAGTTAACATTTTAGCCTTTATTCCTCTTGCATGCATAACATTATCATTTCCCAAATTAGCTGCTTTGGATAAACAGGATGGTGTTGCGTCGGTGAGTACAATCATTTTCCTGACCTGTCGACTTTTCTCTGGCACAAACAGAACTAAGGTTACAGAACTCTGCCAGAAGAGGGAGGGGGGAGAAGAGAACAGGATATTGGCGCTGCCTTGGCTAAATTCTTAGGAAGTGCCCACCCCTATCCCCTGCAATCAGTGAACAAAAATACCCAAGAGGAACAAGGCAAATTGCCAAATTTTGCATTAGCAAAGCCCACTTATGCAGCAGAGCCCTTGGCCCCCGGCAAGTGAGTCATCAGATCAGTGAGACACAGACTGAGAACTTCCCAAGGACAAATGGACTTGCCCAAACCTCTTGCTTCTGCAAAAGCACAGCAGGAGGGACTCGCTCAGTCCGACGTCTAAAGGCATGGAAGGTTCTGAAGAAGCAGATGACATGCCAACACCCAGCAAGAGACCATGGTGTCACTTCAGCTGCTGTTTTCAAAAGGGGAGCTATGATTTAGAGGCCCCGATCATCAGCAGAGAAGTTTAGGCTTCGGCTGGGGAGGGCGGGATATAAATAAAATTTATTATTATTATTATTAGGAGGAGCAATATGAAATTGCTTCTGTAATGAAGTGCCCTCTGTGGGGTTTTAATTTTCACTTGCTTAGGATGGGAGGCCTTGGATGGGGGATGTGCAGTTGCCTATCTGGAGAAAGAAAGGGGGGGAGAGCGAGAGCAACCCCACACATTTCGCCATGCACTGAAGGCACCAACATGGGATGCTGGGATGGTTAGGTGGCAGCGGAGTTCCTTGGAAATTATGGGATGGTGTCCATGCTGCTACTTCAGAGTTGCTTTCTGCTGCTGGTTGAGCAGAGGAGCATGACTTCATGACACCATGGTGAAGAAGAGCCACATCACTGGCCCTTATGGCATCTTCTTCTATTTTAAGGCAAGACAGGTTTTGACTTTGCTGCCCAGAAGGGCTTCTTGTGACTGTCCCACCATTACTCACAAGACTTGGCGTTTCTGGGTTGATTTCATCTGACAGAAGTTAGTCAGCAGCATCTTCTTTGCTGGGCTGAAGAAAACAAAAACTAAGTATTAATTGAGAACAGTATTGACACCAAAGACCTGCCAAAAACGTTGCCGTGTGCAGCACCTTCAGCTTGGCCTTCCAGCCACTCCAGGCCCCTTCCCGTCTCAAACCCCACCCCCCGCACTTACCTAGCATTCTGTGGCCACAGAGACCTTTGAGGTTTTACAAAGGACTTTTTGTCCTTCGGCAAACTCTGAATTTGCTATTTCTCTCTCATAAACTACAGCAGCTAACAAAGTAGATGTTAAATTATTACAGCAAAACATTTTGGCTTCTGCCAAGGCTGCAGCAGCACCCTTTGATTCATGTCAGAGCAACAGAAGCCAAAATGATTCGCCCTGAGAATGTTGTGTCTTCTGCTTTGTTACTCACTGTTATAAATACATACTTTAGTGATTAACTGCATTCTTTCATGATCTAGCACAAACCTGTCAAAACTACTGTCTGATGATTTAAAAAATGTCTATATTAAAATAGTGCTGAGATGAAATCCTCCCCGGAGAACTTACAGCTGTAATATGTGGGAAAGAAAACTGGCATCTCCAAAATTGGGGGCACTGGAAGGAGGCTGCCATCGCCCCCCCCGCCAGGTATGCTCTGGGATGGCTCTGCAGCAAGAGAAGGCCCTGAGGAAGCCAGCACATCACCCAGGAGAAAACGGCCTACAATTGCTGAAGAGACAACAGAAAATCTGCAGCCCGGCAGCCCCTTGCTCCAAACCTTCAAAGCAAATTGCACTGCTCTCGTTACTTCTAGAAACATAAAACATCGGTTCCTAGTGAAGTAGTCCCAGGTGAAACACATGTTATTCCTGAATAAGACTATATTAAGACTACTCTCTAAGCTTCTCATTACAGATTTGAATCAATGTATTATCAGACTTCAGGTTAACCCAAAGTTCTCTTTGAGATCAAATGCATGTGACCTGTAACTAACCCAAGAAATAAGACTTATTCCCATATACAGATGTCTGTGCCACTTGTAGAAACTTGCCTCAAGTGCCTGTGATGTGCTGCTGGGATGCCCGCCTCCTCAATTTTATTTATTCATCATGAAAGGCATCCTTGTTTCATTACATGTTGCAGACTTCATTCATTATAAATCAGAATAAAACCTCAATTGAATGCACTTATCCCCAGCAGGGGATCACATTTCTGGAGAATCTGATCTTCTATGACTAAAAGCTGACAAATCATTGGAGTATAATTCCTCATTTATGCAATAACTGTAATCCTCTAAAAATTTGTGCTGATTAAATAGCACATGCAACAGATTCAGACTGTGAGCAACCAGAACAGCCCCTGCACAAAGGAGGAACTACAAAGTGGATTTACAACTGCAAAGTGGATTTACTACAAGAAGGAGCAGCAACCATTTTCTAGACTTTGAACTAACAAGTAGCTGCTTCTAAATAAAAGAATTAAATGTGGAATGTAGAACTTTTATTTGATCCTCTGGGCTTGGTTATGAACCTTAAACATCTTTCCCCACCCTTGCCCACATTAAAATGATTCTGACCGTTTCATTCTGAAGTTCATTCCTTTTCATGACTGTTTAGCACAATCATTTCTGGAGCATCCTTGAGAAACTGAATAGGGCTTGTGTCAATCTGAAAGGGGGACGGGGAAGAGTCTCCATCTTTTGAAAAATAAAACCTGTAGTGTTCCTGTCATGCTCCTTGGTGCCCCCCCCTCCGACTAGTGGGTGAGGGACACAGAGAGCATTCTCAGCACACCCAGAGCAGGCAAGCCAAGAGCAGGCATGCAGCGTTGCCATCTGATTTGGATTTTACTTCTGATCCTGATCTGATTTGAGGATGTATTTTAATTGATTGCCTGATTTTATGTTAATGTGTTATACATTTGATGTTAGCCGCTATGAGCCCGGCTTCGGCTGGGAGGGGCGGGTGATATAAATAAAAATATTATCTTTGTCTATTTGCTGTTCAACCTATTATTAGTCTTATATCCGCAGCTGAAGACAGGCTGGTTAATAACTGCGGCTTAGTCAAAGCTCCAAGCAAGACGCCAAAAGCATGGAAATGTTTTCTGCACCAGGTCTGCTTGGGTTCGGCCATTCCTTGCGTGCACAAAATGAAGCTTTGCGCAGTGCGCCCTGGCGTCGCTGTGGCTTGGAGACAGGTTGCTTCCATGCGAGCTTCTTTAACCTTGGCGTGCCTTCCAGAACTGCACATGCCTGGCTGAATAACACACGTCAAATGCACATTAGAGGAAGGATTGCTGCCGTTCTTAAAGTCCCCACCACAGGGGCGAGGACTCTCCAGCTTAGGGGTTGTCAGGGAACTGCCATCAGTGCCGGAGGGAGAGAGCAAGCTCCAGAGGGATTCCAGAGAGCGTCCCGGGATTGGGAGAGGCAGCCCATCTTCTGGGGAAGGGAATCAGCTCAGCTCCAGTGGAGAAGGGGGGCAGATGGGGGAATCTGAGAGGGGGGTCACATGACTCCTTGCCGGGGACCAGTGGGGGGAGGAAGGGTCCTCCGCTGCCTACGCCCTCCTTGCGCAGAAGGCTTCCACGCAGGGAGAGTAGGAGGAGACTGGGCGTGAAAGAACTTCTTTGTTGGAAGAAGTTTAAGAAACGCCCACTGACGGATTCTGCCAGCGATTAAGACAGCCACGGGTGAGTGGCTGTCCGGACAGAAAAGGTTCACTTAAGCAACCCAGCCAGGTGTGGGCACCGGCTTACGCACGAGCAACCCCTAGAACCATTACAAGGGTCAACATGGCTTTCCAGCTTCTCTAGCTGACCCTGGGGACTCTCCCAAGGCCAGATTGCCCCCTCAGTACCACACCCTCAGGCTACTCCTGCCTGGGGTTTCAGCTGCCTGGAATGTGTCTCTGAACTGCGACGGAAGCATTTCGCCTCCTGTGCAAAGCTGATGTTTTGCCTCTGGCCCCACCCCCACAGGCATGCGGCCCCTGCAAGGTTGACCAGCAGGGAATGTGGCCCTCAAGTTGAAAGAGGTCTCCTGCCCTGAGCCCATGTGGGGAGTGCTTAATGTGTTGGACTGTGACCGGAGGGACCAGGCTTTAAATCCCCTCTTGGCCAGGAACTCCCTGGGTGGCCTTAAGCCAGCTCCTGTTGTGGGGAAGAAACATGTGTGGCACTTTGAGATCCTTGGAGAAAACGGCAAGATTTAAATGCAATAAATAAAAATAAATTACAATACCCTGGATCTACTGGCTTAACGCATCTGAACTGTTTCGAAGTTAGCCAACCGTAACACAATTCCCAGAGGGAATCCAACACAAACAGACAAAAAACAAGCAAACTTTTTTTGGGTGTAAGTTGACATCTCAAAAATGAGTTATTTTAGGAAACCAGTTGCTAGGTTTTCTGAGAGACAGTCTTTGTTTATACATTTATCAAACAATAACTTTGAAGACAAGGTGCTGCTACATGTTTTTCTGTATTATGTTGATGTACATTTTTCTTCTTTTCTCTTTCTTCTTTTTAAGTATTAACATAGCATTTTTCTAAAATTAACATTGTAATGAAAAGTATAACAAATAACCAAATATAAGAGCCTATCCTATTCAAAGTAAGCTTTAATCAGGAAAGAGGAAATGAGAGGGGATATAAACAAAATAACTCAGACAGCTGTAAATTGTAAGCAACAATCCATTAGATTTGAAAGTATTCTGAAAAATGTTCCACTGGATATCAAGCTATCAAAAAACTTAAGTGAATTCACACAACCACTGAATAAGACCGCATTTCTGAAAATGTCAATACAAAAATGCCTTATTCTGTGGTAAATCAAAGTAAGAAAGACTTTCCCATGCTAACAGTGCTTTGGGCAGCAGTCCTAAACATCTTTTCAAGTGGGGAAGTCCTGCTGAAGTCCTGACTCCTCTATAGTTATACACAGGATTACTGGACAGAGTGTCTATTCAAGAGTCACAACAGCAAGAAAGCCACACAACTGAAGACTCCAGAAAGGCTAAATGCCTAAACCAAGTCTGACGACAAGACATTTTAGAGCAGGGCTGAGGAACCCGTGTCATTCCAGATGTTCCCACCATCCCTGATCATTGAGCAAGCTCTCTAAGGCTGATGGAGCACAGCACCAGGAAGGCAAAAGCCTCTCGCACGCCAGTTCTAAAGCTTACAATAAAATCTGTTCTTAAGAAACATGCATCTGTATCGAGGATTTAATTTTAGCCCCTATTTATGAGGTAAAAAGAATTGGGAACTGAGAGGTCAGTGGAACTCCTGCTCTGAGACAAGATCATGAGCATGTGAACTTTTAATGAAAATCTTGTGTGAATGTAGAGCAACTCCATTGTACCCACTTGGCACTCACTTGCAAATATTTTCTAAGCAACATGTTTACCTTCAGTGCTCAGTTATTGAAAATCTTGGTCTTCACATACTTATCATCATAACTAATTTTCTTTTCTCCTTTACCTTCAAAGGTTTCCATGGCTTCCTAGGGCAGTTAACGTGACTATTCAAATAAGAGAAGATTCTCAAATGATGCAAGAAATCAACCACAAGGACTTTCAGTGGCAGCTAGTAAAAACTGGAATGGAAGGTCTCCACCAGGATTTACTTTGCTATAGAGTCGTACAGTGGTGCCTCGCAAGACGAAATTAATTCGTTCCGCGAGTTTTTTCGTCTAGCGAATTTTTCGTCTTGCGAAGCACGGTGTCGGAAAAGTTTTGGAAAAGCTTCAAAAATCGCCAAAACCTCAAAAAAGGCTACCACACCACATTCTATGAGTTGCTCCTCGAAGTCAAGTCGCAACTGTATTAACGGTGTTAAGAAAAAGGAAACAAACTTGCAAAAAACGCAAGACGTTTTCGTCTTGCGAAGCAAGCCCATAGGGAAATTCGTCTTGCGAAGCAGCTCAAAAACCGCAAAACCCTTTCGTCTAGCGAGTTTTTTGTCTTGCGAGGCATTCGTCTTGCGGGGCACCACTGTACCTTGGTTTTCGAATGCCTTGGTACTCGTATGTTTTGGCTCCCGAATGCCACAAACCTGCAGCCAATCGGAAGCCGCACCTTGATTTTTGGGAGTCAAACAATCTCCCAGAACAGATTAAATTTGAGAACCAAGGTACCACTGTATATAATGGCCATATTTCTATAACCCTAATGAATATAAAAAAATAGATGGAAAATAACTTCATGCTTTTAGACCCTAATTTAACAAGCAAGGGTTCCAATTTCAAAGTCTGTTTACCACCTCAGCTTACCTAGATTGTGTGTGCTGCACTTATACTTACGTTTTAGGATGCCTGCAGAACTTGCTGACAGCTACCAAGTCTGAGAGCTCAGGCAAAGCGTCCATCAAAGGATGCAGATCTCCAACTACTGGGGTAGCTTTTCGCTTTGCTTCTGCTTTTTGTTGTTGTTTTGCTAGCTTGATATTTTCTATTTCTGAAAAACAGGGGCAGGAGGGAGAAACAATTGTTAAGCGAGTATCCAGGGGTCAGCAAACCTTTTCAACAGGGGCCCGGGGCCACTGTCCCTCAGACCTTGTGGGGGGCCGGACTATATTTTTTTTTGGGGGGGGGAATTGAACGAATTCCTATGCCCCACAAATAACCCAGAGGTGCATTTTAAATAAAAGGACACATTCTACTCAGGTAAAAACACGCCGATTCCCGGACTGTCCGTGGGCTGGATTTAGAAGGCGACTGGGCCGGATCCAGCCCCCAGGCCTTAGTTTGCCTACCCATGGAGTATACTTTAAATTCTGTTAATTGAATCTTTAAAATGTCTTTACCACTTTTTAAAGTCTTATGTCTGAGAAGTCTGTTTCAAGTCCATTTTTATTAACTAAAGGGTCCTGTCATAGTTCCATCATTCTTTCTTTAGGAAAAAATATTTTGCTTGACCCATGAGGGTAACTATCCATACTGACTAATTACTAGCTGAAATATTATTTGGGGCAATAACATTATTTCTGCCACAATGCTAGAGTGAAATAGGAGAGGGAGGAATGCAGTGACCCAGCCTGGTCACTGGAAACATTCAGTCAGCCAGGGTTGGGGCTTACAGAACTGAACAAAAGGAGTCGCATGGCATCAGAGCACCAAAGGGAGCTTTCCAGGCTCACTCAGATGTAAGATCCGGTATAATTTACCTAAGTGCACAGCATAAAACCAGGAGTTAATGAACTTTACCCATTCCGCTGTAACGAGAGAGGGAAGGGGATGGTTAAGCCACATATGCCCATTTTGAACCCACTATCATGTAGATTCAAAGAGGTCACAGTGTCCCTCTGATCTGGTTCAGCTCGAAAGTAAGATAAGATTCTACGGATTCAGAAGTGATTCAGAAGATACAATCCTTTCAACGTGGTTAGATCTCTTCAGCCCTTCATTGGAATCCTTGGAGCTGGAATTTACAACATCCTTGTTTCTTCTGGCTGTCCTGTTAACGTTTGCCTTTTCAGATGCTTGTGATGTGTATACTTCAACTCGGATGGGCTCTCTTGGCTGGAGAGCACATGCATTCTGATCGCCAGTACTCCTGTTTTTGGTCCAGCACTATGAAGTTGTATTACTTCAAAGCTTTCAAAAAATTAAGCTTAGACATACCTGATTCTGAATTCTTTTCTTATGAAATCTTTCTAAGGACAGAGACATTCTACCTGTGATTCTAGTGGCTGAAACTGCATCTTTTTTGGTTTTAGTTTGATATGATTTACCACTGCTTGGAATAGAATATAACCTGAATAATTTCTATTACGCCATTAGGCAGAACTTCAGTTCCCAGCTGGCAAACAAAAAAGGGGAGGGCAAAAGGCATCTACATCTCCTCTTCAAAAAAGAAATCAGGCAGAAAGCAAATTAAACCCAAAATACATACATTTGCATGAAGTCAGCTTTTGAAGTTAACAAA